GTACACCTAACCGTGTTAATATTACCTAGCAACCTATAGCAGCCTTGAAAGGATCTCAAGGCACCCCAGGTTGCCACTGCACCATGACCAAGAATCACTGGGCTAAGGCATTCACCTGGTTGGAAGGGCATCCTGGAGTATGGTCTCTGCTCCCTGGAATTGTTACGTCTTTTACATCAGAGTTACTGGATAAACTAAAATAATGCTCAAAGCAAAAAAATAAATGTGGGATTCCTTACTCTGAGTGCCCTAACCTAGATAACAGAGTCAGCTTGCTTGTTCTTCTTCTGCTTCTGTTCCTTTCTACTCAGTGGCTCAGCTTCAACAGCAGGGATGGAGGTATCCATGCCCAAGCACAGCCTACCACTTCCTGATTATGTGATATGCAGTTTGAACTTGGATCTTTGAAAACTCTTGGCGCTCTGGTGTAGTGCCCGAAGACTGGAAGAAGGCCAATGTGGTGCCTATCTTCAAGAAAGGGAGGAAAGTGGATCCGGCTAACTATAGGCCCATCAGCCTGACTTCTATCCCGGGGAAGATCTTAGAAAAGTTTATTAAAGAGGCCATCCTTAATGGACTGGCCGATGCCAACATCTTAAGGGATAGCCAGCACGGGTTTGTTGCAGGTAAGTCTTGCTTGACCAATCTCATTTCCTTCTACGACCAGGTGACCTATCACCTGGACAAGGGAGAAGAGATTGATGTCATATATCTTGACTTCAAAAAAGCCTTCGATCTGGTGTCCCATGATCGCCTCTTGGAGAAACTGGCCAGTTGTCGCCTTGGGTCCTCCACGATCCACTGGCTGGAAAATTGGCTCCGGGGTCGGACCCAGAGGGTAGTAATCAATGGAAGTCACTCATCATGGTGTCCTGTGACCAGTGGGGTCCCCCAAGGCTCTGTCCTTGGACCCATACTGTTCAACATCTTCATTAATGATGTGGACACGGGAGTCAGAAGCGGACTGGCCAAGTTCACCGATGACACCAAACTTTGGGGAAAAGCATCCACACCAGAAGACAGGCAAGTTATCCAGGCTGACCTGGACAGGCTCAGCAAGTGGGCGGACAAGAATCTGATGGTGTTCAACGCCGATAAATGCAAGGTTCTCCACCTTGGGAAAAAAAACCCACAGCATCCTTATAGGCTCGGCAGAGCTATGTTGGCTAGCACTATGGAAGAAAGAGACTTGGGGGTCATCATTGACCACAAGATGAACATGAGCCTGCAATGCGATGCGGCGGCTAGTAAAGCGACCAAAACGCTGGCTTGCATCCATAGATGCTTCTCAAGCAAATCCCGGGACGTCATTCTCCCCCTGTACTCGGCCTTAGTGAGGCCGCAGCTGGAGTACTGTGTCCAGTTTTGGGCTCCACAATTCAAAAAGGATGTGGAGAAGCTTGAGAGAGTCCAGAGAAGAGCCACGCGCATGATCAGAGGTCAGGGAAGCAGACCCTACGATGACAGGCTGAGAGCCCTGGGGCTCTTTAGCCTGAAAAAGCGCAGGCTCAGGGGTGATCTGATGGCCACCTACAAGTTTATCAGGGGTGACCACCAGTATCTGGGGGAACGTTTTTCGCCAGAGCGCCCCAAGGGATGACGAGGTCGAATGGTGACAAACTACTTCAAGATCGTTTCAGGCTGGACATAAGGAAGAATTTCTTTACTGTCCGAGCCCCCAAGGTCTGGAACAGCCTGCCACCGGAGGTGGTTCAAGCGCCTTCATTGAACACCTTCAAGATGAAACTGGATGCTTACCTTGCTGGGATCCTATGACCCCAGCTGACTTCCTGCCTTTTGGGCAGGGGGCTGGACTCGATGATCTTCGGAGGTCCCTTCCAGCCCTAATGTCTATGAAATGTATGAAACCCCGCTCAGGTTGAGGATGGCTTAGTACCCAAGTATCCCACTTCCTAGCAGGTGCTTTAACCATTTAACTATTACACAAAAGGCATGCACCATTTCAAAAAGAGCAAGCCCTGATCAGTTCAAGAAAACATGCATAGGCACCTGTCTTCAGGAATGGTTCCAGACTCCATCTCCAGTGGACAGAGGTTTCACCCTCACAACCAGGGGTCAGGTGCATAAGCAACTGAGAGGGAAATTCAGGAGTCCAGATGGCATTAAGCCTGTGCTTAATAGCTGCTTACAGATGCATTAAAAAAAAAAAAAGTGCTTTAAACTCAGTGTGCCCCAACACCAAGCCCAGCACATGCCCAAAAGAGGCATAGTGTTAGTTTGACCCAGCTTGCCCAATATCTGCAGAGATTGGGCACTTCAACGGGGGCTTTCTGGTCAAAAAATGCTCACTGCAGAGCGTGATCTATACAGATGCTTCAGAGCCAGGTCAAACTTGAGCTGCCTCTTTTGGTAAAGTGTGTTTTCTTTTCTCTTTTTTTTTGTCATGTCTGTCAGCAGCCTTGGTGTTTTGGACTGCCCCTCTGAGATGCCTCTTCCCCATGGACTGTCAAGGGAGCTTAGCCACTTCTCTCTTCATTTCAGATTTTAATCTGTAGGCCACATACTTAAAATTCAGGCACTGCAGTGCCTAGCATGTAGGCACCTAGAGACCTTTATTAGATCCAGCACTGAATCAAAATATCTCCTAGTGTCCCCTCTTGCTATAGTGACAACATATTAGTCTTCATCTGTTACCTGTGCCTTGGTTTTGCCCATTACTTCTCCCTGACTACTTTCTGTCCCCTTCCCTAAGGGCTATGGTAATACAAATAAACTGTAAATCACAGAAGTTTCTTTCAGCCTAATGCTAAGGACTATACTGTTAAGGTACAGGGGGAGGGTGGGGGGAGGATTAATAGACTTCAAACAGCCTTCTGATTGTGTACTTGTAATTAACTGTTGGTGCAAAACTGCAGGTATAATTAACTGTGGGAGTAAGAGAGGTGACTAAAACTCTAAGCCCCTGATCACCGGCACAAATCAGGTGGCTAGGAATGCAAATAGTATAATTTGTGCTAAGAACTGAATGCACAGCTGTTCATCCACAATGGTCTGTGGGCACAAAGTCAAAGGTTACTCCTTGAAGTTCGGCTGTTAATATTCAGGGAAACAAAGTAATGAAAAATACTGAGCTACGAGGTAGCCAGTAGCACAATGTGCAAGAGGCAGAAGAATTCTGTTCCCGCCCTCTTCTCACAATATACAAGCCTAGTCCTTTCACCTTAACAGATGGCAATGGCTGATTTTATTTCAGTGGGAGGGACCTTGATTAAAGCTTCAGTGACCACAGTAAACATAAGCTTGCCACCATGATTTTACCTTTAGTAATATGACTTAAAAGATGCATTCACTATTTCAGTTACGGCAACAAGCTGGTTGCAGCAGGATACCACATGCATAGCAAGTAACTGAAAAAATAAGCTGCATTCCTTAATGCAAACTTGGGGTTTAGGAAAGGGCAATGGATTGTTCCTGAAGTATCTTATGTTACATGGTGGTGGTCTGGTTGTGAAATGTATAATAGACAGGAAACCGAAGATTAGCATTCTGGCAAGAGGCAGGTCAGTGTTTATGAATCAGAAAGACAGAAGAGATTAAGTATTCGTTGTGAGGCTGAAACCACAAGTCCGTTTTCTATATAATGGCTAAATCTGTCATACCTCAGAGATTTGAAATGATTTGTTAAGTGGCTTCATTCAAGGTTTTGGTCCCACCAGAAGTGGGAGGGCAGCTCTCTGAGCTTCCGTTCAATTCAGTGGGGCTCATCATGAGTGCTGGGTCTGCCTAAACCATGCTGTTCACAGACCCAGTGCCCTAGATTCCAAGACTAGGCAGATGGAATTTTCTGACTATATTTGCAAACTAAGGAGGCTTTAGTTTAGGAGTGAATTAAATTTAATTTGAAAGAGAAAGATTAACCAGAATGTTCAACATAATGTGGTACCTGGCTTGCGCTGTGATTTTAATTCTAAGTATTAGATAATCTATTTTTGAATTTTTTTTTTAAAAGCGCGTACGTGAATTTCAGTGCTTAGAAAAGGCGTTAGACTGGCACCTTCAGAGAGCCGAGCCCTCTGTCTACTGAATACATACAGCATGGTCAGAAGCAATGGAAGCTTCCTTCCCGCTGCATCCCCCAGGGGCCTCAATCCTGACTGTGAGGGAGCATCTCTACAGCAGATATGTTCCTGCCTTTTGTCAGTTCATGTTGGATGCCTCCCATTACATCACTGTGTATTTGGGGAGTGCAACTGCATTCAAAAAACATGCCCAGTCAGATGCTCAGCTGGTGTAAATTGCTGCTGTTCCAACAACTTCCACTGAATTCTGCTAATTTGCAGCAGCTGAGGACCTGGCGCTCAGCTTGAAAAAGCAAGTTTTTTTCCACTTAACCTAAGCATATTCCTTTAAGATTTTCTTCCATGCCTTTTGCCTCTTTTGTTTTACTTCTGTTCTCTACCATAATCCTTTACTGACTGCGGGGACACTTTTGTGATGAAGACAGAGGTGAAAACAGCAGGCTGTCATTCAATTAACTAACCCAAGCAGCAAAAGGCTGACATGTTTCTGCTCTTTAGCATAATCAGAATTTCTCGGGTGTTGTCCCCCACCCCTACTCTGTTGCTAGAGTGCATATTAATACAGCTGAATAAAAAAACCTGACACAGCAACATCAAGAACAAAGGACTGAGCTGTCCAGCACAGCCAAGTCGACTGCCTAACAGACTAGTGGCTAGGTTCACTCATCCACCATCACAGCCATTACTCAACAGTGTTAATTATTGCAATTCTATTCTGGACATTAACTTGAACAAATAGCCACAGGCTGGTCAGGAAAACTATTCCTGATCATCTTGTGTTTTTCCTTTGCCCTAACGTGCCAGTTAATCTTATTTCAATGACCTACTACAAAATTTCACTGCCGATATATATTTTTACGGGCTTGCTTTTTTTTTCTTCTTCTTTTTTTTACTGCACTATGGCACTGTCACTGCGGCACCTAATACATTATGTAAGAAGCATTGCATCAGCTCGCTTACCCAGTGCAGTGGCCCAATGCAGACCTTGGCAGCCAGGAGAGGAACAGTGGGATCTGCAGGATGCAGCTTTGCACACTCTTTGAGCACTGACACAGCATGTGCCGACTGGGGATGATGCAGAGTTGGGGGAGGGTAGGGGGGAGAGAAAAAAAAACCAAAGAGGGGCTGATTAGATGGTGCAGCTGTAGAACACAGACAAGGCATTTCACTGACATGTACATAACAATAAGATGACTTGGTAAACACTCATGAGTGCGCAACAAGTGAATGACCCCCCCAAGGAAATATTTTCAAAATGTCAAAGACAGTCCCATCTGCATGAGTTATAAAGAACAGTTTTCCCTGCAAGTCAAAAGATAAGGTTATTTAAATTCTATTCTTCATCTTGTACCTTGCAATAATTCCCACTGACTACAGTATCACCTTCTAGTAAACTTGAAAAATCATGGGGGAGGGGGGACCTCCCCTCCAGCTAATTAAATCGAGAGGAGCTGTTTATGAATCACACAGATGCTTGAGCTTCTAAATCAGTCTGCATTCTGTTTTGCAGATTGTTCCCTCCAGTTCCATAGCAAATGTGAATACAGCCCGAGCCCACAGTGCAGAGAGGCAGAGATGAAAACTGCAGTGCAGTGCACTGTTCAGCAGAGAAGATAAAAGGAACTTTCCTGAAGGTACTAGGACCAGTGTGCATTGTCAGGAAAGCTCTCCCTCTCCCTCCAGGATCACATTACAAGTGATGAATTACATGAAGCAAACATTTGACATAGCCCTTTTCATCTTTCACACACTTTACCAGCCTGTAGTAATCTTCAGTTATCTATGGGTGGGTAAGTGTTATAACACACCCCCAGCCACCTAGAAATGTTACAGAACCTCTGGTGACAGAACCAAAATCCTCCTCTTTTAAAGCACAGGTCCCTACCACTCTGTCCGAAGGGGAGTCTCCATTCACTGTATACGGCTTATGACACAGTTGTGCAGTTCTACTTTTACCCACCTCCACCATCTACCTGTTGTGCAGTAGAACAACAACATATTATTATTAGCTCTTCCTTCTCCCCCCCAACCCACACACACATTTCACAGACGAAAAAACTAAGAAACCAAGATTAAGTGGCTTGCTTAAAGTCAGAAGGACAGCCACTGCCAGAGCTGGGATTAGAATACAATTCTGGCTCCTAGTCCTAGTCTGTGATCATTAATCTCAAAAAGTAAAAAGTTGGTTAAATTTAAGCTTTGAAGAACAGAAATAAATGCAACCTTGTCATTATGTATGTCAGTAACTAAAACCATTGGTACCTTTATATAAAAAAAAATAAAAAGCTAAATGCCTCTAAACATGGTTTTACTTTTTTGTTTCAATTTGTGGCTTGCTTAGAAGCAACAGTGCTTGGGTTTCAAAGGCATCCTCTACTCCTATCACATGTCCCTAACTGTAATGCACAATTCAGATGCTTTTGCTCACTCCCTACCGCTTTCCAGATTAAATTCAAAGTTTTGGCAAAAGAGGCCATGCCCTGGTGCACTCCCACTGCCTGTGGCCTGTACTCCTATGAGAGCAGCATTATAAGACAGAAGCAGAGATTCTAGCACAGTATGGCAGAATCTCTCCAATCCTAGTATTTGAGACATGTCCCCAGCCCTTGCTATCTCAACATGTAAGAGTCTGTCTGGTCCAGGTTTCTCAGGGGCTACATGATCCATTAGGATACTGGTTTTCTTTGGAAGAGTTACCAAGGAATGCAACCTAATGAGGTGGATCCTCAACTCTGTGCAAACAGTTTGGATGCAGAAGCAGTGAGTTCTCCTAGCAACTACTTAGCATTCTGGGATCCAGCACCTGTCATCCCTGGCAGATCCTAAGGATGAGATCCTTCAGGATCTTGCATGAATGAAAGATAAGCAAAGCTGTCTTCTTTTCCATCATGCTCCCTATTAACCTCTGATCCCTCCACACCTCCATTGCGCCTGTTGAGTGAGACTGACTATTGGTGGAGGAACCAGATTGCCCTCAGATGGTACAAGGAAAATTCCTCAGAGGTCAGCTCTGGCTAGAACTATTCATTAAGTGGAGCATGAACAGAACTTATTGGAATGTGGAGGAGTGTCTCTAACATCAATTATAAGTACCTGGTAAACAAAGGCAATTTATTACATCCTCTCATGAGCATTTTAAACATTAATTGAAAAAGTAAAAGCTGTAGTTTCTGAACCACATCCAAAACAATCACAGCAGATTGTTGTTTGAAACAGGTTTTTAAAAATTGAAGCTATGCATGTGACCTAAGTGAGTATTTAGCCAAGTGCATATTTAGAAAGAGTAAGGTGTAAAACCTCTCTCCCCCCAAGTGCACTTAAAAATGCAAAAGATCTATATAATTTCACCCCGAGAGCTTATTCAGCAGAATCATATGTAGCATAAAAGTTCGTCAGGGAAAGGCAATAGAAAGAATATCCTTCTCCCAGGGGTGACCTTACTTTGGACAGATAGGAGTGAAATATTTGATAAAGATGCTTTACAGACACGAATGAATTAACAGATAGTGAAAAAAAAACTTGTTCACTCAGAGTCATTGCTCAGTAGTAATATTAGATACAAAGGAGTGTTTGCATAATATTGAAATAATCTGATAATTAAAATGTTTGTATTCTTTGGTGAGAATGTGGGTGAACTAGTCAGCCAAGTGCATGGTTTGCAAGATTTTCTGCAAGACAGTTATAATTAGATGTATTAATGATGTACATATTGAACATGGTGAAGAGCCTGAACCCGAACTCTCCATCCATATGTTCCTGAACCTTGGAGGGGCTGATATCCAAATGCAGATGGGGAGGGGGAAGGGGAGGATGGAGAAGGGGAAAGGTTCAGTTATGGTATTTTAATTGCTGGAGTTCTACCAGTACACCAAATAAAGCTGCCAAGGACTCTGGAAAATAAAGGATCCATATACGGTCCCAAAATTTTATTGCTTTGCCCCGCTCTAGTTGAAAGTCTCTTTTTAATGGTGTTGGTGTTACTAGGAAGGCAAAATGATGCATCTGCTGACAGCTACATCTCATGGGTCAGAACTAAGATTGTGAGGTGACTGGTGTGCAAGTTCTTCATCTTAACCTGAAAGCCACCAACAGATCTATGGAGGTCATGACTGTGCTCCTCCTCTATGTCGTGATGAGTGTGAATCTCAGAATTATTTTTTCTCTCTAGCAACACAGTGTCAGAGAACAGAAAAGACTGAAAGCCAGTGTCTAATAGAAATTCTAACCCATTAAAGAGAAATTCTAAGACCTGTAACCCATGGTTAAGATCCATCTAGTTATTTTACCTTAAGCTGATCAGCTCCACAGTTTTTCAACCCTAAAGTTCTATTAATTGCAATCAACTTGGTATGTAGTTCTTGGAACGTGAAGCAAAGGAAGAACAGAGGCATCATTTGGCACATCACTACTCTATGCTTAAGTCCAACATCTGCAGAAATCTATTTACTGAGACAGTTTTCTATATCTCAGTCTCCTGAAATGCAAGATTTTCTCTATCAAAAGATAATAATAAAATGTTCTGTTTGCTTTTGACAAGAAACTGTTAACCACAGATCCTGTAAAGTAACATGAAGAAATAATTAAAAAAACTAATAACTGTTTTTTATATATATATATATATATATATATATATA